GGTGGATGGATTAGGGGTTATACCTGCGTCCTTCCGAATTCACCGAACATATCCGCTGCAGTTGCGTAGTATTCTCCTTAGTCGCTACTTAACTTCCCAGTGTCTTCTGTCTTGGTTGATCGAACCTTCTGAATCCTTCGGAGACTAACATCGTCCCCTGACTCAGCGACGTTCACAAGTGTCATATTGGAGCATGGCAAAGGTCTCCAAGGTCCCTTCCGTCGGGGTTACTCTCCACGCATCCAACCATCATTCCTACTAACACAATCTTCCCTCCAGTCGCCTTCCCTCCGAACTACCACTTGTTGTTATAGCTGAATAGGGCCTCCTTCGAGCTCCCCTGTAGTCCAAGCTCCGCCTCTCTTTCCTGTCTTGCAATCGCCATAATAGACATTCGACGGGCGCCAAAAGGCCCCCGTACATTCACCCAGTTCACATGGTTTATCACTGTGTCATGGCCTGAGCCTGGGGACTCCTTACCGGCTCCTATACCTCCCTAGCACTTGGCTATGGTTGGCGTCATCAAATTGACGCGAGGTGGTGGCCGTCTCCCATCCCTGCTGCGTTTGCAGGAAAGTGACGAAAGAGCGCCGGCAAAACTGCTACCGGCGGCGCGAAACGGAGCGCTACCGGGCGCCCGTCAACCCGCGCCCGTCAACCCGCCCCCCCCTCAGTTCTTTTGCACATTTTGAACCTCTGGACATTTTGGTCCACCACCCAAACCTAAACTGGGTAATGGTCCCAGCCTTTTTTCCGGGTTGTTTGTGGAGGGATTCCCGGCCTCCGTGGTTTTGTTGAAATAAAAGTGATATCTTTTTGGTAAAAAAAAAAAAAAAAAAACAAAAAAATTCCTTTAGGTTTTATATGGTTACTGGCATGCCCCGCGGCGGGCCCAACACAGGTCCGTATCTCAACGTTGGCTTTCGAGACTCCTTTTTGTTTTCTCGCAGCAGCGCCGTCGGGATTTTCCGTACTGGTCGGCACTGCCCGGGAAGGAATAGGCAGGCGGAGCATTCAAACGGGCGTGCGGAAGTGCTCTCTCTCTCTCTCTCTCTCTCTCTCTCTCTCGCGCGCGCGCGCGCGCGCGGCGAAGTGCACCCTCTCTCCCTTCCTCTCTCGCTCTCTTGTTCTCTCTCTTAGCGGTGTTATACGTGAAGATGTGGAGACCCGTTCACTCTCGGCCCCAAAACGAAATAGGTGGGTTCGCCCGGCGGAGCGGAGTGCGCCCTCTCTCTCTCTCGCTCCCCTTCTCTCTCTCTCTCTCTCTCTCTCTCTCTCTCTCTCTCTCTCTCTCTCTCTCTCTCTCTCCCCACATCCTTTCTGCACTCCTCCATCCATCCGCCCATTCATTTAGGGCTGCAACTCCGTTTTTTGTGGGAGTGCTGTGTTGCAAGTGGGACAGGATTTGCTCTCTCTCTCTCTCTCTGTGTTTGTCTCTGTGCCTGTGGTGTTGTGCCTGAAGATGTGGAGAGTATGCACACTCGGCCCGAAAAGGAAACAGGTGAGTTCGCGGGGGCGTGGCGAAGTGTACCCTCTCTCACGTCGTCTCTCTCTCTCAGCGGTGTTGTGCGTGGAGAGGGAGAGACTTCGTTCACACACGGCCCAACAACGAAATAGGTGGGTTCGCCCGGCGTGGCGAAATGCACCCTCTCTCCCCCTCTCCCTCCCTTCCTCCCTCCCTCCCTCCCTCCCTCCCTCTCTACATCCCTCCTTCCCTTCATCATCCATCCGGCCATTCGTTTAGGGCTGCAACTTCACTTTTTGTGCGGGTGCTATGTTGCAAGAGGGACAGGATTTGTGCACGGCCGCTCTCGGAAGGAGTAGGCGCAGATCATGCCGTGAATGCGGAGAGGCAGGAGGAGAAGGAACAGGAGGGGGAGGCCAAGTGCCTGGTCGGGCAGGCAGGAGAGGGTCGCCCTCGAATCTTGAGGGGTTGGGGTAGCAGGAGAAGGACGAAGGGGGAGAGGGTGAGGATGACCGATCAGGAGGATGAGAGGGCCGGGATTTGGTCGGTCAGGATGGGATGCGACGACGGAGGAAGCAGAAGTAGAGTATCGGGATAGGGTGAAGCATGCAAAGTAAGACAAGGTAAGATAGGGTGAAGAATGCAAGGTAAGATTGCCACGTCAAGGAGGTTGTGTGGAGAGGGAGGACGTCGAAGAGGGTCCAGAAGTAAATGGGCGGAGGATCCAGTTCGCGGAGAAGGGGACGGGCAGCGCGGATTGGGAGGAGGCCAATGAGGATGTTCGATTGACAGGAGGAGAAGTTCGGAATGGCAGCCAATTAGGGTGAGGACGTACGAACCTATGAAGTGCAGGGGAAAGAAGGGCAAGGCAACAGGGTAAGGAATGCAGGGCGTGTAAGGGGGGGTGATGGGGACAAGGTGGGGGAGAAGAGATAGCAAGGGAGGAAGAGGGGCTCAGCGTGGAGGGAGGGGAACAGGTTGTAAGGAAAGGAGAGAGCAGGATAATGACGAAGGGGATGAATTAGGAGAGGGATAGGGTGAATGTGGATATGCAGGTGATTGAGAAAAGGAGCAATGAAGAGAGAAACACCGACAGAGGAAGACAGGAAAGGACATACCCCATCCGCAGGGGTCACAGTATCGGAGGCGTAGGGGATCGAAGAGGATCCCAACGGAGGAGAGAAAGGCGTCGAGACAGACGAGAAGAGGGGCGACCGACACAGGACAAGGAGGGAAGAGGATGGGGAATGTCGGATCAGTTTGGGGAAAGATCGTGAGGGGGGATGGAGATTGAAAGAAAGATGGAATCGGACAGGCGGAAGGGAGGCAAGAAGGAACAAAGGGAAAAAGGAGAGCGGGTAGAGAAAAATCTGTGTGTGTGTGTGTGTGTGTGTGTGTGTGTGTGTGTGTGTGTGTGAGAGAGAGAGAGAGAGAGAGAGAGAGAGAGAGAGAGAGAGAGAGAGAGAGAGAGAGAGAGAGAGAGGATCGCTAATGACGAGCACACCCCGTAGAGCGAGAGAAAAAGGGATGGAGAGGGGTTGCGGCAAGAGAACGGGACGAGTGAGGGAGGAAGAGATGGCGAGAGGGACAGCGCGGAGAGAGATCCCAGTGGGATAGTACTCTTCGGGCCAGTATCTTCTCGTCACGGAGGTATGCCCCTCCTCACTCGAAGTCCCGCCGTCGACGATTCTAAATGTTAAAAGAATAAAGATGGAAAAAAAGATGATGACGAAATATTGATTGTGTGATATTTTACTACATATCCTTCGCGCGCTTCTTCTCTACGATGTACCTTTTCTTTTTCTTTTATTCCTCCCCCCCCCCCTTCCCCCACCCGTTTGTGCGGCTATGCTGTCGTCTCTTCACGTCCGTTCCCCGTCACTCTATTGGTGTCATTTTTTTTTATTTTTTTTTTTTAACAATTTCAATCTCGATTCTACTGGTGGGGATGTTGCGAGACAGGTTGCATCTCTCTCCTTTTTCGTAATTCGCGAGTGCCGTCGTTGTTGACGCCAACACCAAATGCTCATATCAGCTTTGCGTCGGAATCAAGTGCACAATTGATGATCGCATCTGAATGATTTCAATCAATTGACGATGCTCGACAATTCCTCAACCAATCCTCTCAGTCGAGCCGTCTTCCACTCATCAGGGTGGTGAATTTCTTCGTACTCACGGCCGGTATCCAATATTACGGTTATTTATTACAGTTATTTAATATTTAATCAATCCATCGTCATGCACACATCATGCGGTTTTGATTACATTTCATCATCTGACTAGAAAGAAGCGTTGGCAAAAAAAAGAAAAAAAAAGAAAAAAGAAAGAAGCGTTGGACTCTGTTCCGGATGATAGACGTCGTTCACAACATCGCTCCAGCAGTATTCTTCCTTTCCTCTCTCTCTCTTTCACTGCATGTCTCTCTCTCTCGATGTGCACACACACACACACGCACACACACAGAGACAGAGACAGAGAGAGAGAGAGAGAGAGAGAGAGAGAGAGAGAGAGAGAGAGAGAGAGAGAGAGAGAGAGAGAGAGAGAGAGAGAGA